CTGATCAGGTACTAGTGGTAAAATATCAGCTGATGTAAGAAGATGGTATGAAATAAGTTGTATCTGAAAGACAATTGGTTATGAAATAAATGTGGCTGACAAATGCGTAGTGTGAAATAAACATGTTGAAAAGGAGAAAATATGAAGTAACTTCTGTTTGTGATAAAAAATAATATGTAGTGCAAAAAGAAATGAGATAATCAAAGACTGAAGTAAATATTCTGAGGTGAGATGAGAAATCTGTGTGGTGAAATATATATGTAGGTGATATAAGCAATGAGTAATGAGTTGAAATGAGATGTATGATGAGAATGTAGGTGATATAAGCCATGTGTATTGAGTTTTGAAATGGAATGTAAGAATGAAATACTTGTAGTATGAAATAAATGTAGAGTAAAATAAATGTAGAATGAAGTAATTTATGTATGAAAAGAAGTGGATGATGAGTGAGATGAGATGACAACATCTGGATGAGAAATCAGATGTATGGGATGAAACAGTATATGTAGTCTGAATAAGTGATATCTGAGATGAAATAAATAAATAACATTTACTGAAAGATTATTATCATAGAAAGAAGGTAGTGAGGGAAGAGTAATTTGTATCTTGAGATGTGTGATATGTAGTATGTTGTAGCTATGTAGTACTATATATTATGTAACCAAACTATGTGTAAAATACTGTTTTGTAACCTTCTGAACTGGGTACAAGATAATGGGTTATGTAGCATATGCATATCTGGTTGTAATAACATGAAAACTACTGTAAATAGCTATTTTGTACTATATATGACTTTGATTGGTCTCACCACAACGCTACGCGCACAAGTCTCCAAGAAGTACCCGCTACGCTGCGCTACAGCACCTTTTAGCGTTTTTTTGCCCTTTTGGCCTCTAAAAGTGCTGTAGCGGCTGTAGCGGTGCACTAACACTACACAGAAAAAAGCCAAATGTTAGCGGCACTACAGCGTAGAAGTGGTAGCGGTGCGCTAACACTACAGAAAAAAGGGCCCCTGTTAGCGCCGCTATGCTAACACTAAGTGGCCCTTTAGCGTAGTGTAGTGTATTAGCCCACCGTTGGTAGAGATGAGTAGTCGTTGAGTATTCAAATGACCACCATATGCTAGAGAGTTCACTTGAATGTAACATTGTCCTAGCCATGTCTCCCATGATTAGCTAAAGTGGGGATGAGATCAGCAGGCACAAGGTGGGGTGAGTGGCCGTGGTACGTGGAAGGATAAGTATATCATTTCACAGTATAACATGAAGTAGAGAAAAAAAAGGAAGAAGAAAAGAAAAGAAAGAAAGCCACATACCTGAGAATGAGATCAGCGGCAACGGTGGGCTGCTACACTAACTGTAGCGGTTAGTGTAGCATAACACAGCGGAATTGCTGTTAGCGCTAAGCGTAGTGTAGCGGAATTACGCCATGACACCGCTAACGCTACGCGTGTGGGCCGCAAAAAAGGGCCCACTACGCTGCGCTACAGCGCTTTTTAGCGGTTTTTGGCTGCTTTTTCCGCTAAAAGGGCTGTAGTGCAGCGTAGTGTAGCAAGAAACCGCTAAAAAAACGCTAACACTACACTTTTTTGATAAAAAAAAAGCGCCGCTACGCTACGCTTTTTGGGCCAAAAGCGTAGCGGCCCACCGCTGTCAGCGGGCACAAGGTGGGGTGAGTGGCTGTGGTACGTGGAAGGATGAGGATTTGAGGAAAAAATCCTTCCACGCCTGCTGTCTCAGGTAAACTACATGATAGGTGAAATGTGAGTGAAAGTTTAGTGAGATGTATAAAACAGAAACAAGAGAATAGAAGTTAGAACTATGAATATCCATAACTTAACATCTTAATATTCTATTCAAAATCTCAGCTTCTCTGTTTTGCTCCAGCAAGTTTGGTGTGACAGGGGCAAGAACCATTCCTGGTGCCAGGCTTTTTGTGTACTCTAGTGAATTGTCACAGTGGGGGTACAAAGGTGCTTTACCAAGAACAGTTTTCAGGTGTCTGATCCAAGTCAGGATTTTTTTGGGAACCTCAATTTGGAGGGAGGGGGTGGGGGCACTTGCAGGTGAGTGCTCAGAAAGCTCCTGTGGTAACAGCAAGAAAATCTTGAGTATCTGCCAGCAGTTGTTTGAGATTTTTGCCCAGTGTTATAGGTTCAAGACCCATATTTATTTTCCTTGCATTTTTTTAGGTTACAACATATCATTGATCAAGTGCATTATGAAAAAAAACAAAGGTTTTCCATACACACATCACACCCTAATTTTGCTGTGCATTACAACCAACTTCTGGGAACACAGTTTTCTGCGCCTAGATGGAGTTCTTCCCCCACTGAAAAATTTAATTCTTATGCTTGCAAGTGGTGGAGTGACCTGGACCACAATGTTAAGCTGAGGAAGTACCAGCTTTTTGAGAAAGCTAAATGACAATCTGATAATACTGTAGAGCATTGGCAGGCTATCCTGACGGTT